GGCGAACGAACGCATATTCCAGGAAAGGAACTGCAAGTGTGAAAACATGGCCTTTTCAGTGTACATAACCTTCCAGCTGTTGGGGTTGATGTCCCACGCACATGGTGCCTAATGTATGAAGCATATGGTGGACACGGACGAAGAAGGTTTTCGTCACCTCGACAGTGGCGCGGTCCGTCTACGTTGTGCCTGTGGGGACAAACGCCATTTGTCCGTTATTTTAGATTTGAAGGTGTCCATCTTGGAGAAAACTCTAGAAAGCTAGTGTGAGATTGGACCGTTGGCCATAGGTCGCTTTGATGCCGTCTCTGAACATCCCCAGGCTTTTTCTTGCCCCATCGTAACTCGGACTAGTAACCGGTGATTTTTTTTTTTTTCTTGTGTGTCTCAGTTACCGTTTGATGGATTGCCTTGAAACTTAGTACAGGCATCCAAGTGCCCCTCGGAGTGAACTGCAATAACATTAAGGACCTTTTCATCTGCAGCTTTCATCTGCTCTGCTCAGTCTTGTGTTTTCAACTTATGGCCAACTCTCTCCAAGTGCATAATCTTCAAAACAATTGAAACTTATGTTGATGCTAATCAAAGGTTTCGAGAGATTGCTTATTTTCTTTTTGGTTTATTTATGAAAAAAACACCCAGGTATCTACGAAAGAAAACATCTTTTATTTTAGGAATTATCAGACAATGTTAAACAAGCTGCCAGAAGCCTTCCTGCAAATGCTATACAATAAAATCACAATGTTTAACCAGTCTTGATGTCATTAAAAACTATGACAAATATGAATAATTTCATTTTGGAGATTTAGTAACTCAGAATGAATTGATTGTCCATGTGTCCTAGGTGGATTTGTTCTTGTTAGGTGTAAACTAGCAGAAGCCATAAAATGCTGCTTTGTGAAGAAAGAAAGAAATATTGTTTCCAAAAACAATTTAATGTATTTTAGCTCGTGCTTTTACAGGGTGTTGAAGTCGGAATCTGCATGCGGTGCATTTACTCCGTCCCCGTGTTGTTTTAGTGGCTCATAAGGTATCATTATATATGCAGCGAGTACATTTGTGCGCCAGGAAAGTACTTCAAAAGTAAGAATATGAACGTACGCAGAGGCATTTTAAGCTAAAGCGTAGTAGTTGGTGATATTTCCTTACTTTTCCCTTTGCATAGTAGGATTCATTACAAATATAAATTGCTTTACAACATCCCCCGTCTCGTCTGTCATCGTTCCGCGGCTGATTTACCTCTTTTTCCTCCAACAGCTATTAAAGCACATGTTCATATAGCTGTTGGACACCAAAAGTAACACCGAGGTGTCTGGTGAAGCAGGGGTAATGCGCACTAGGCCCTTGATTGCCCAGTGGCCAGTAAGTCATGGCGTTGACTCTTATTTGACACTCAATTGGTTCAAATGACACCATTACCATGTCTGCATGGCTAATGGCCTCCCCGGGGCCACAGAGTGGAGGAGGGTGGGGGGAAACATGCGTTAGGCGTGTCAGTCTGAGGTGAGAACACACATGAGCCAGGCACAGGGCCCAGTCCGCACCCAAATCAATCCTGACACCTCTTAAGAGGCTCTCAGCATCAGTGGCACTCCAGCACAATTACCCCTTCGGTAATGACATAAGCACCCAGTTCCTTCCTGCCTGCCTCCTGGTAGAAAGCCTCTCCTGCCGGCCAGTAGATGGGGATGTTGTTGGTCCTCGGAGCAGCTGATACCCGATCCCCTACGAGCCCCGGAGATCTGGACGCCGCAGGCCCTTGCTTGGGGAGAGGGAGCGGCTTTTATCTGATCGGGAGACGCTTCGCCTTTAGCCGTCCTTCAGCCAGATTGGAGGTGATGGAGCTCAGCAAGCTGTCAAGATAGCAGTGGGCGAAGAGGATTTCCTCTGAACGCGTCAGGTTTTAGTGGTTAGTTATGATAACCTCTGAGGCTGTAGCTGGGGAACATGTGACTGCCAGTCAGATTCGAGGCGATAACGCAGAGATCCCCGGGGGTTTTGAGAGGAGCAGATTTAAAAATGGGGTCCTCTGAAATGTCCAGGTGTTGCTGTTCAAGGGACAGTATTAACAAAAATGACTTAAAAGAAATTTGAATTTGTAATTTAATACCTTGAAATTGGGTCTCTGTCTCTTTAAGAAGCTCCCACTTTTTCTGAAACTCCACCTTTATGAAGTCATCACAATATGGCTCCTCAATTAACCCTTCAGCAACATTTTTACCAGCGTTGTACTGAAAAGTAGCTCCTACAATGAACTCAGCAGACGCACAGTTCCACCAGGTGTTTGCTAATTTCTGCTGGCTAGTTTGAAGGAGTCACAGGGGAGGGCTGCTCTGCGAGGCGGTAGCTCAAAAGCTTGGAAACTGCAGCTCCAAGGCGGCGCTTTGTCCTAGAAGGCGGAGCCAAGTCCAACCAGGCGTTTTGCACAGATGAATGGTTGCCATGGAGATTGAAACATTTCTCAGACATGCATGAAAGAGTCAAGGCAACACTCCAGATGTGTTATTGACGAAGGAATAACATCATAACATGATTTAAAGGTCAACAAAGTGGCCTTCAAGACATCAATGCAAACTCAAGCTGAACTTCTCTTTTTGAACTCTTATGGCTAACAAGGCGGTCCGGCCTTCAGCGTTTTTAAAGACTTATTTCTCACAAAGAGGAATTTTTCTCTACATGTTTGCTTGCAATAAATGGGAAAACCGGCATTTTGTTGAAAATGAGAAGTTATGAAACACCTTCTATTCTGACCTCGCGTGTGATTGATTTCTCAGAGCCACTCCATCAAACGTGCAGCCTTCATCGTGCGTTTCAATAAGGCCGCAGTCAGTTGGCACGAAGAGGAAACCTAGAGGAGGATTCAGAGAAGTCATTGTACTGCACCGCGTTGCAGCGAGTTTACCGTGTATTCGACACAAAGCGCACTGTTTTCATGTCAATGGTCTGCCGTCCGTGTCACGGCATCGGACGGCGATGTTGTGGTAAAGACTAAGTCGACGTTTTCATGGATTGAAGTGTTTTAAAATGAACACACACATGCATACACAAAACTGTTTTTCAGAAAGAGGACCTGGAAAACTATGCATGCATAGAAGCATCTGCGTGTATAAAACCACGCGCACATCTAATCTTTCACAGCTTTAAGAATGTCAGCAATTGTAAAATTAAAGTCACACGTTCATGACTCAGTTTTTTGCAAACAACTCGAGTACGAGCGGTAAAAAGTGCCGTTTCATACTCAACTGAAATCTTTAATCAATAGTGTCAAAATAAGATGAGATTTCTTGTTAAAGCGCCATAGTGAAATTTTCCAGAAAATGAGCTAATCTCACAATTTCTGCCATTTTTTTTCCCCATGTTGTTTGAAAATAGCTAAAATTGCTTATTTATATATCAATTTTATTGAGAAGGCAGAAAAAAGTACCAAAGTAACCGGAGTTTTCTTTGCTGCCTCTCCACTCCCATCTGTTTTTGACACCACACTCCTAGTCACCTGGATCTAGACTTCTACACATTCTCCCTTCCTGATTTCTTAAATTCAGTCCCGCTCTGGAAACTAAAGGAGCCTCACTCTTTATGAACACAAAATGGCAAAAAACATACAACTGCAAAACAAATGTAGCAGGTGTTGAATGTCTATTTTCCATCAGATCTGATGGAGATAACCTCATTCAACATGGCCGCACTGCGCCATTGCAGAAATCTGAATTGGTGTGGTGGTGTTTTTACTTCCAGGTGATCATAAATTGACAGTCAAATCTCGTCTTTCAACTTTAAAAGCCCAGTTGGTGGTAAAAATCACCCAATCATAAAACACTGAGCATTTTCCCTACAGCCTTTGTTTTTGTGACCACTGCAGTTTTGCCCAAGTCCAACTTTTTGGATACTAGTGTGGTTTGAATTCTCCTGTCTTTAATTGCGCCATTTAGTAATAGTGCTTCAGGCAGTGGTTAAACTCTCTCTGTAAAGCCAAAGTTAAGTGGTGGGGGGTCCATGCCAGAAGAAACAAGGTGGTTTGGTGCAGCTTGGCGTTGCACGTGGAGCAACACAGTGTTGGCCCGATCACACAACGAGAGCAGAACCAGTCTGCTGTTTCCCGGATCAGACCTTCACTGCTTCAACCACGTAGGGTTCTTTGGTGATGCATTTTTTTTTTCTGGGGACCGTCTTCTTCCTGGTTTTGAATCTTAAGTTTTATCAACTATGGTATATTAACCACACAGCTGTAGATACTAACAGTAGACTGCATTGTTCATTCAAAGTTGAATGCTGGTTCCTTACCTTCTAAAGGCAAATTCTAGCTGAAAGACCTGAAAGACGTGTCCTAAAGACCTGAAGGCCAAGAATGATCTGAAGCAAGACTTTGACTGCATGAGACTGTTAGACATCCACATTTAATAGCACTAACACTCTTGTGTTGTATTAATTTTATATTCGAACATGTATTTAAAAGTCGTTCATCCTCTCCGTCTGTCCACATAAATCATTCATTTGGGGCCATGCTTTAACTCCTGACAGGAAGACGAGGTTGTTTTGAAGGATTGTGATTGGCTGATGCAGGTTTTAGCTTTACTTGACGCTGCCCCCTGTGGGTTTGGTATGTTTGAAACAATGCTCAGTGACGTAATTTTTGGGTTCGTGTGGATTCTTAAAGCAATCGGGCACGAAGAAGATTATTTCATGGAAACAAGTATTTCTGCTATATGGTCTTAAAAAGACCTGTATTACTACTGGACTATGCCTCAGTAACCGTATGTTTATTGTGTGTTCTGTTTGTTTTTTTGGGGAGATATCCTATTAGCATTAGGTTCGCTGGTGGAAACACTACCAGTTCCTTTAAAATGAGGCTCTTTGGCAGAAGCATTTAAAGACCTCCATAAAATACAACTTTAAGTATGCAAGAAAGTTAATCAGGGCCAGTAATTTGGCACATTTCATTTACGATCAGGCCAGCTCCGGCTTCCTGAGCAATACCAAGTTTGTTTTCCCTTCATCCCCAGGAGCCTCCGTTAAACGCTCGAGTGTTCTCAGGGATCCAGCCGACCGGAGTGCCGCATCTAGGCAACTACTTAGGCGCTCTGGAAAACTGGGTGGCCCTGCAGAACCAGTACCCCTCGGTGCTCTACAGCATCGTGGACCTGCACTCCATCACTCAGCCTCAGGACCCAGACAAGCTCAGGAACAACATCCTGGACATGGCGGCGAGCTTGCTGGCCTGTGGAATCAACCCAGAGAAGGCGATCCTGTTTCAGCAGTCTAAGGTGGGTGGGAGAGCGTGAGTGATGGCCGCCTGCTGTTGATCGAGCTGCTGCTGCTGTTTTCAGATACCAAAGAGATGGAAAGTTATAAAGTCTCTTCTGTGTCATCCCCAGGATGATAGAGAACTACTGAAATCAGAGTTTGGTGGCGTATATTGCTGCCTCGTGCAGTTCTACTGTGTGCATGTTTCTGACCTAGTACTGTACAATAAATAAGACAGAAATTATGTACGATACAGAGTCAAATGTGCATTAAGGTTATTTTTACCATTGTGTTTGGACTCCATTGGAAGAGAAGGGAAGTGTACAGTAGTAGGACAGGGGAATAAAAGTAGGGGAAAGTCTTTGTTCCTTAATAAACAACATACATTTGTAGCTAGCTGGTTTGTGGCACATTTCTAGAAATGGTTTGGGTAACATTTTATTTGAAGGGTGTGCATAAGAGCGACATGACACTTTCATAAATATGACATAACACCTGTCATGAACATAATATGTCATATTCATGACATAACACCTGCATGTTTATGGCTTATGTCATGAAGTGTAATTCGGTACATAATGACTTTTAATGCAGTCAACTCTTTTTAATGCAAGTTTTAATACAACTTTCCTTAAAAAGTCAATATTTACCAAATAATGCTAAGCTGATACTTTCAAAGTGCATTAAAAGTACCAACTCTGAATGGATATTTGCATTCAAAGCGTCATTATTTACCGAAAGACTCTTCATGACAACAGTCATCAACACTCACGTTCATGACTGATGTCGTGTTTATGACAGTGTAATGCCAGTCTTGTGCACGGCCCTTCCAATAAAGCGTTGGCATGGTGGGTTTTAGCTGGTGATGTAAAAGATTTGAGTGGAATGTTAAAACAGAGGTACGGGTGCATCAGACTGCGTTAGCTCTCACAAGCCATGGTTCATATAAACATGGCGTCATCCATTCTGTTGTTCCGCCTGTATCTAGTTGTAGCAGCTGCACGGATCACTCATATACGCCTTTCATATTCTCGGGAACCCTGGTGTCACTTTCACCCGCCTCAGAACGTTACGTAACGTAAAGCCAGCGTGAACCTACGGCCCTCCACAGACTTTTGGCACACAGTTTCCTCTCTCCGTTTGTATATTTGGTCCAGCAGAAAGCGTTTATTATTGGCTGTCAGCTCTGACGTTGCTGACCCTCCGACATGCCAACGCAGCCACAGATATCCGCCACGGTCGATTGCTACCGATTCTTATCGCCGCCGTTTCTGCTGCTAATGTGCGCATAGCGCCAAAAACACAAGCCGCTGAGCCTCACTTTACGTAAAAAGGATCATGTTTGCAGCACTTTGGCTTTCAGGTTTACGTTGAGATAAAAAGGAACAGCTGTTCTGTCCTCACGCCCCGACTCTGGCTGTGTTTTCTTTTCTTACAGCTTTGGAAGTCGGTACGCATGTGTGCGTTACGTTCAGTCCATCTGTGTTTCTTTACCTCCCCTCACCGCTCCTCTTCCTCTTCGTCCTCCTCCTCCTCTACACACACATCCAGGCCTATTTTTATTCCCGCTTAGCTTCGTGCCACATAGCTTGGCAGCGACACGACCCCCATGTCGAACACGCCTGCTCCACATGTAAAAATACGACAGCCGCCCAAAGAAAATACTCAACTTCATTGAAAAAAAAAAGTGAAGAAAAAGAAGAAGAAGGGAGCAGAGCTTGTGTGAGTGAGTGGATGTACTCAAAGGACGTGTGGGTCTGCTGATTAATGGACTTTCTTTTTTTTTCCTTCTTTTTAAATACATGTTTCATAGAAGTATTTAGCAGGAAATGGAATGGACTGTGAAAAGGCGGCCAAAAATTTCTACGGCCTAAATGAGCTGTTTTTGTGCGTCGGCTGCATGATGAGTTAATCACCTAATCGCTGAGGCGAACTGCCAAGTGCGGTGCGGCTCTGTCCACGCGCCAAGGTCAATTACCACTCAGTCGCCGTCACGCGCTTCCTGTGCGGTTATCGCCATCTGACCCATCTCTTATCAGACTGGAGTGGAATCAGCAGATCCACAAAACTCATCTTCCTTTTTCTTTTTTAAGGAAGTGGGACATTTAACGACTGACGCCCTCCCAGCCCGGCATGCTCGCCGGATATCCTGTTTTGTGTTCCTGCTTGTCTGCTTGGTGACGTCAGGTCGTCCGTCAGGCGTTTTCCAGCTACAGGAGACACAGGCGATGGCAATTAAATGGCAATTCATAAACTTCAGTCAGGAAAAGCAGAGGAACGCTGGCGCTCTCTCATAGACACACACCTCCTCTTCATTACATCAAACCCTGGAGTTCATTCAACGCCGCGTTGACACTCTATTACTCCGCAACGGCTCCAGTAGTTGAAGGAATGAGGGGCCTATTTGTGTTTTTGTGATTTAGGTTGGAAAATGAGGGCAAAAAACCTCTGAAAACTAAATTGTGCAAGTTCGTAGAGGGAAGGAAGTGTCAACAAACGGCATCTAAAGTATTTTCTATCGTCTCTGTAACTTTGTATTTATGCATCATAGAAACTGCAGCCTCTCACTTAAACACATGATCAAAATGATTAAACTAAAATACTTTGGGATCATTTTTAATTGCCTGAACAGACGCATTCAACAGATATTTCAAACACTTATGCCTGTCACTATAACTAATTTTAAATTGTTCCAGAAATCATTGTGATAAACAACAATAATGTCCTTTTGAGACAGTTTTAAACTATAGATAATAAGATGATTGTATAAAAAGGCAAGTTTGCTCTCACTAATAAACTTTAATTTTGTACACAGCACTCAACACTGGAACTGGAAAAATATTTTAAATATCCAAAAAAAACAAAAAAACAACCAGAACCGATAAGCAGGAAGACATGAAAAGACCACACACAACCAAAAACCATAAATAAAATAGATTGCAAAGTCTCTGAACAAAATTGCATTTAAAACAAATTTTAATCATTGGAATGGAAATTCTGGAGCTCATTTTAATTGCTTATTGCGACAGGCTAAAAACCCTTATTGTTACAAATTTGTTACAAGTATTTGAGATTCCTTATTTCAAAATTATTTATAATTAAGAAAAAATATAAAATCTCTTCATTCAAAGTGGCTATAAGTGGTTAGTTCAACCTTGAAATTCGGAGTAGAACATTTAAAAACAGGGATGCAGACGGTACAGATTGCATCTATTACATGTTATTTGTTTTTGATTTTTATTGATGTATTTTGTTTCATAGTGAAATTCACATGTAATATTTTTGGGTTGTTGATCCTCTAGGCCCCTGAAAGTTTGCTAAAAGCAAAACAGCTTATTTTTTCAGCAGCAGCCAGTTTGCCGTTATCGCTTTTCAATTTTAAAACATTACAGATTGTTTTTTTTTTCAGACTGTGATTTTAAGAAAATGCATAGAATATGTTGCGAAAATGTCAAAAATACTAAAACGATTAGTTGAATCCTGCACTAGCAGATGACCTTCACTATAATTCTTAATTGTTTATTAAGGTATTTTCGCAGGTGTGCTTTGTTTTTTGTGAAAGGGCGCAGTAGTCAGTACTCTCCCTGTCCACCAGGAGGCAGTATAATGACCCTCATTTTCCTCTGCTTCGCTCAGCACAAGGGTTTCCATCTAGTGCATTTTGCTGTTTGTTTTCTTCCCTCCCCCTCTTTCTGGGGAAAAGAAAAAAAAGAAGTCAGTTTTCAAAGTGTGCGTTTTTGGTGATTTATTTATGACACTGCAAGAAAATAAAACGAGTGTCAAATGAAACGGCTTTTCATTGGATTGGTGCGAGTTCCTATACGTAGGAGAAAAAAATTCAGGGTTTGCATCAGTGGTTTTAGTTTTAAGTCTTCCTAACTCATATCAATAATGGTGACGTTATGAATCTGTAGAAAATATTCTGTATTAGAGCTACACAAATTCTGAGCGTTTTTGCGGGTGTGTAAAGTGTGTGTAAGGTGTGTGTAAGGTGTGTAAGGTGTGTGTCCCTACATCCTCCCTGCAGGTGTCTGAGCACGCCGAGTTCTGCTGGATCCTCGGCTGCCTGACCAGCATGCCCCGGCTACGCCACCTACCCCAGTGGAAGGTTAGAACCCCCTGGTGCACACACACACACGCACACACCCACACACCCACACACACACACACACACACACACACACACACACACCACACACACACACACACACACACACACACACACACAGATGGATTAGCTCAGTGTGAAAAGCAGGTAACTGATTTTTGAAATCTTCAGATTTAAATTCTTACATTTTTTTGTTGTATCAATAACAGAATCATGTTTTATGTTTCTTTTTTTTTTAAAGGTTCCCATAGAAATTTTGTATGTTTTAATTTTTTTGCTCACTTTTTCTTTAAAAAAAAAAAGGTACATTTTACATATAGTTTTTTTCCCCATCCCATTTATTAAAATCAAAACAATCTTAAGATACCAGACGAGCGGTCCGTTAAGAACAACCAGACTCCTCATCGTCAGCAGCTGTCCCACCAACATCTAAAATAAAAACAAAAAAAAAACAACTTGGCATTTTTACAGAGTACATAGTGGTGTGAAAGACATAGTTAAAAGTAGAAACTCAATTAAATTTATTGTAGTGTTATTTAATAGTCAGCCTTTAAAAGGCAAACACAGTATTTAGTCTTGCAGCAGCAATAAAGTCGGCTTGAAAATGCCCGACTTTCAGACGCAGCGTTTCACCTCGCTAATACCTGAAGCTGTTAAATATAAATATAGGTCACCAGAGCCGCGGTCTTTTATAACTCAACAGTAGTTCTACGTTTATTTGTAGCCGTTTAAAAAAAAAAAAGAACAGTTCTTGACTAGTGAGTCTCAGACTGAAAATCCTACAACAGAAAATATGTCTTTGTTTTATGATGGGAGGTAGGAAGAGCCCTCCACAAGGCAAGCTGTTATTTGTATCTAAACATAGTTTTATAACGTCAGATGCGTGTTTTGCGTCTGCAGTGGGATCTCCCTCCAGATCCAGATCTGCGTTGCCACGTCTTGGCTTGTGGCTCCCCCTTTTTCTTTTTGTTTCCTGTTTTCCCTCGTGCCTGTTGTCTGTTTCATTCTGCCGCTGTTGTTTTTGAAATCATAACTGCAGTCAGGTCCCAGAGCTCGTATATTCCTGAAGCAGCCACTGCCTCCCAGCGCCTCTTGTTAGATGACTTAATGCAGATGACTTAATGCGTTGATGAGTCGTTAAAAGTGAAAATGGCTCTTTGTGGACAGGAAGAGGTGAAAGAAAACCCACTTGTTTTCTCACTATGCATTTAATCCTCTCTCTCTCTCTCTCTCTCTCTCTCTCTCTCTCTCTCTCAAACTGTGACGAAGATGAAGAGCAAGCAGAAGAACGAGGGCAGCGTCGGCCTCTACATCTACCCCGTCCTGCAGGCCGCCGACATCCTGCTCTACAAGTGAGATTTCCCTCATCGTCAGACTCTCTGTTGGTCACGTGTCGGACGATCAGTGATTCTGCTATTTACTACGGATCTCATAATACGGACATTGATCCCAGAATTCCAATTTTTCTCGGAATTCTGACTTTTTTTTCATGGGATTCTAAGATAAAAGTCAGAATTCTGAAAAGTCGGAATTCTAGTGAAATGCAAGGACCACTTAGAGTTCTGACTGTAATCTCAAAATTCTGCTATTTGTCAGAATTCTTGAGTCGTCCTGACATCAGAACTGACTTTTGTGTCTCATCAGATTAAAGTCTAAAGTTCTGAGAGAAAAAGTCAGAATTCTGAGATTCTGAGACTAAATCCTCGTCCGTATTTCACAGTTAATATACTAAAAAATGATCATCCACCATCAATAGAACCCGGGCGTTCACTTCTGCTAAAAAGTTAATTTTAAAATCCATTAATCGATTGATTTTTCAGTGAGTTCTTGCTCACGCAGGATGAGGTCGTACCATCCACTTAGCAGCCTTTACATAGTTGCTGAAAGCAGAGTTTGTAAACGTTTTCTTTGCTACAACACACTCACATCTGCGGCCATCCTGTGCTCAGAGCAGATTTATTCTTGTAATATTTGAAAGCCAAAACATCTGCCTCCGTTTCTGCTCCAGTGGGGGAAAAAATGCCTAAAAGACGGACTTAATAGAAAAAGTTCGAATTTCAAAATAAATGAATCTGTGAATGACTAAAATGAGAATTTTTAGAAATGTTTTTTTTTTTTTGACTAAACCAGACTTTAAGCCGCCATCCTAAAAAAACATAGGAGTTTGTTTTTTACACTTATGCATTAGTTATCATCATTGGTAATAATTATGCAGCTGAAAGTCATTTAGATCAAAATTTTATGAATAGAATATTTTGGATTTTTGAACGGAGCAAAATAAAACCCTGTGTTACTCCGAGCCGTGAGACGGAGGTTGGCATTCCCGACAATATACATGGAAACGCAGCGTTAATGTCTCCACACAATTCAAACGGAGCAGCACTTCAGCCGACGTAACGGCCTAGTTCAAACCTCCTTCCTAGAGAAGCAGGAACGCTTTGGTGCATGGTGGAAGAATCCAAACCTAGGGTAGTAAAGAGTCGTCTTTGACTCAGACGTGTGAGATAAATCTGGATTTATTGCCAGTTGACGACTCCAAACCTAATATGACTGAGTTCAATAAACCTCTGCGCACAACTTTCCAAACTTTCCTGGATGCACCGTCAGGTCCACACACGTCCCCGTCGGAGAGGACCAGGTCCAGCACCTGGAGCTGGCTCAGGATCTCGCCCGGATCTTCAACCTGCATTACGGAGAGCTGTTCCCCGAGCCGCATGCCCTGCTGAGTAAGAGCAACACACGCACGCACGCACGCACGCACGCGCACACGCACACACACACACACACACACACACACACACACACACACACACACACACACACACACACACACACACCAATTTCCTTCACACAGAGTAAAGGAGCATGTTAGCACTTCATATTTAATCTTTTTATGCCTCTCTCCTCACTGCCTTCCTTTCGTTTTTCTGAAGGAAAGTCTGTTTCTGTACTATTTTTTTTTTTAATGTATTAGAAGATTAATACTCGCAAGTATTAGCAACTTCTTACTGACAAAAAAAATCTAGCTAATTAGCTCATGTTTCTCTATTAAAAAAAAAAAATTTCTGAACGTTTTTGGCACCCGTTATATCTGGGCCTAAATGCAGATCCATCAAGCGTCGCCTGAGGCTTGCGAGGCTGCAAGCGTAGACGTAGAGAGCTGTGTGCCATGTGAGAAACATGAGAGTCACCAAAACAAATAAAAAAAATTACAAATAAAAAAAACAGATACATTTCACAATTTTAGTCTCCTGAGAAAAACCTCAAACATTCACATACGCATTTCTTTTGAAGATATCTGTCGTGGTATATTTCTTAAACTTTATTCTAAAAGTCTTGACTTAAAATGTCTTTAAATTTGAGTTGGTGAAGCCTGAGAAAAGCTTCTTAGATGTTCAAAAATAAAACAAATGAGGTGCTGAGGATTATTATTGCTACATATTGTGTCTTTGTGCTGCTATGAATTTATTCTCTCCCTGTGGATTTTATTGGTCCTGAAGGATTTTCAGGCGGATTTCTGCTCTCATAGGAAAACATTTTCCTTTGCGGCTTTTTCCTTCGAAATAATGACGCCAGTATTTTCCGACATCACTTAAGTTTTGTCATTTCAATTGAACATGATGCGGCGCTCAAGAAAGGACAGCTTCATAAAACTCATTTCACCGTGGTGATATATGGTTTGTTTTTTTAGATCTAAGCAGAAGAAATCATTAAAAAACGATTTAAGAAAAGTTTAGGGTTTTTTTGGGGTGCAGATTAAAGTCTAACCAAACGGGCATATGTTTCATAACGCAGCTAAATAGATGAACTTGTGCATCATATGGCCACGTAGGAAACAATTTATGCACAAAACGTAAAAGTGGAGCTGCTTGGAGTAACGGGGGATTCCAAACTTTGAACCATTCGGACTTTAACAGGGCGGCTTCCGTCTCTGCGACTTGAAATAAAAACGATAAAAGGATAAACGGTTGACTCGAATAAATCTAAAATTTGGGTATGAATCTCCTTTCGGACATCCGACACGTTGTGCTGCCATGGGATTGACATGTTTGAGATAACGCGTGAGCGTTGTTTGAATTTAGTCTCCTCAGATTTGCTGTGGATCCAACAGTATCCAACTTGCTGCAAACTTTAACTGGGACGTTTTTATGGCTCTCTTTCAAAAACAGTTGCACTGATAGATTGACCCCATTTTTTGGTAACCGGCTGGTATTTACTTGAAAAAATCCTCCGCAAATGTTTTGAAAATCGGCCACTGTTCTCTTTGGCTCTGTCACTGCCAGCTCAGCAACTTTTGTTTGTTTTATGCAAAAAAAAAAAACTTTTGGACAAAGTCCAAATCAGCAGGCCTGACGTTTTAAAGTTTGGTGAACGGGCAGCCCCGGTTTAAATTTCTGCCGTACGTTTAACTTTACCGAACGATCGATTGATCTGTGATCTGATCAACCGATCAGATCGATCAGAAACGTCTGCATTCTGCTGGTGTCGAATCAATTATTTGGAGACAACAGAGTAAAGAGGGCTGCAGCTAAATATGCTGCTCAGGTTTCTATTTACTTAGAAAAAACAAAAGAAGAAGAAGAAGCTGTCTGCTTTACAGCCGCGCTCGACTTCGTGTTGATTCATCACATAAAAGACGTTTGTTGTCGTATCGTCTATAGATACTTTTTAAATCACTGGCGGATCTCGTCCTCATTCCGCATAGGCAAACAAGTTAAGACTTTCCCTTTGAAATCAAACCAAAGCCTCAAAGGCCTTTTAATCCGCTGGAGATGAAGACGTCTCCGGGATGATAAAACAGGACACATGTGGACATATGGCGCTGGCAAGATGGCGGCAGGGACGCCTGCTGATGGATGACAAAAGAAAGGAAACCCCGGCTCCGTCGTCTGCTCCTCACTTCACACCGGGATGCGTCTGCCTTACATCAGGACGCGTCTGCGCCAACACGCCCACGCCAGACGGCCATATTGGGACGACATTACTGCGCCTTTTCACCGACTCTGGGAGGGGCTGGTTTCATCTGCAGCGTTGCTGCTTAAAAAACACAAAACGCCATAAAACACTGAGTTGAAAAAGTTGTGAAAATAATCAAAGATTGCCGGATGAAAATTTTTGTAGAAACTACTTTTCTCAAATTTGTCTTTGTTGATCAAAGGCCTTGGTGCTCAATTTAGATTTTTTTGTGAAATCCTTTTTTTTTTGGTCAGTATTACGTAAAATCTACATTTTTGAGCTTTACGTCACGTTATAATTCCCTCATCGTAAACATGCCTGGATTGTTGCCTTGATTCTTTCATGTATGTTTGGAAAATCCTTTAATTTCCTTGGCAACCATTCAGCTGGGAAAACATCCTAAGAAACTGTACGAAAAATGGGAATGATTTTCAAGAGGCGTGTTTGTGGGGACATAATTGCTGTGACACCAGTTTGTAGTCATACAGTTCCTGAAAAAAAAGATGTAATAAATGTTTCCCATCGTCACATTTCTTGTTATATCACAGTTCTGGAACCTGCTTTCCTTTCCCGTGTTCCATATTCCAAGTGTTTGCGTCTCATTGAGCCGTCGGTTGTTTCGCATTGTTCACGTTTCAGCACATTTTTATTTATTTCCCTCCACAGGTTCGACGCGAAAGGTCAAGTCCCTGCGCGACCCCACCTCCAAAATGTCAAAGTCCGACTCGCAGCCGATGGCCACCATCACCGTCACCGACTCCCCGGACGACATCGCCCTGAAGATCCGCCGCGCCGTCACGGACTTCACCTCCGAGGTCACCTTCGACCCGCAGGCGCGCCCCGGCGTGTCCAACCTGGTGACCATCCACGCCGCCGTGGCCAGGCTCAGCGTGGAGGAGGCGGTGTCGGCAGCCAAGGGGCTGGACACGGGGGCGTACAAGGGGCTGGTGAGCGAGGCGGTGATCCAGAGGCTGGCGCCCATCAGGGAGGAGATTCAGAGGCTGAAGGCAGACCCGGGGCACCTGGAGGGGCTGCTGGCCCTGGGGAGCCGCAGGGCCCGGCAGCTGGCCGCACCCGTGCTGGACGAAGTCCGACACAGAGTGGGCTTCAGCTGAAAGACGGCAATAGCTGGGGGAGATACGGTTAGTCAAGCTGCTGGGGTTAAAGATGTCGGATGTTAGTTTTTTGGGGTTTTTTTTAATGTTTTTGACATATTTCTTAAAACTCTCACCATGTCGTAATGTTATGAGACAAATAATATAATAATAATAATAATATATAATCTGTGAAAATTTTGATCTCCTGACTTCCCTTGGCTACTGCTGCCGTCTGAAGAAATGCACCATCGACAACCAATCAGAGCCAGGAGGCGGGTCTTAATGTCAATCAGCGCGAAAACGCGCTGAATGTTTAGCGTTGGACGTTTGGCACGTTCAACGCTGCTAAATGTGCTAACGGCGGACAAACGGCTGATCCGTTGCAGAAAAACTGTTAACTACTGCTAACGAGCTTAGCATGCAAACCTTGTTAGGCTGTGCTATCTGGAAGAAGAAGAGAGGAAGGATGAACACCACTACACGGAGGGTGATTGACAGCACTAAGATCCGCCTCCTGTTTCTATGTGGTGGCTTCTTGTTGGCACCGGAAAAAGGCAGAGGTGCTTGTTTTTGTTTTTTTTTTTGTTCAGTTTGATCTCACACCATACTGTCACAACACGGTGACAGTTTCTATATGTAGAAAAATATTTTCTTTGATAAAAGTTACATACTACAGCTTTAATAAGTGGACTTTTTAAAATGAGAAGACATGTTGCAGTGATTGTTCTGGTGCTGAAATGTTGTTGGCTGTGACTTCCACAGTGGGATGTTTGAAATCTGACCGCTGGTCACCGACCGATGGATCAGACACTGTCACTGGACGCTGGACTCATTTATTTAGCTCCAACTCCTCAATGCAATACATTTTTCATTTTCCCCACTGTGTGTTTTTTATTTTTTGTCGTATTTCGTGTGCTGCCAAAACATTCAAATCATCTGAAAGCTAAACAATAAAAACCCGCCTCACTTAGAGAGTCTTCAGGTTTCATTGTGAATTGTTCAAAAGAAACCAAGCAGCATCGGTTTTACTCGAGCAGATGAACACGGTCGGGAAGACTATTTTGTTTCTGGTTTCCTCTTTTATTTGTTTATTTTTTATTTCAAAAGTCAAAACTACAGTCATGGTGGCATAATCTGCTTTGATGCTTTCCTCTTATTTTAGCTGTACATTTTTTATATACATTTTTGAAAACTTATGGCAACAGAATCTGCTTTAGCGTGTCCGATGCTTTCCTTCTTCCAAAACCTGAAGATCAGACAAAACCAAGACTTTTTGTGACAGAGTTTACTCTACGGTGTTTATTCTTTTTTTTTTTGCTTCAAAACTGCATATTATAGTTTGAAGCAAACTGTAATAAGATGCTTACTGCTTCACTTCATTTTTATTTAATGCATTTATTTTCTTTTTTTTTTTTTTTTCCAAAACTGAAGATTAAGGTTATAGTGACAGAATCTACTCTAAAGTATCTGATGCTTCCCTTTCTTTTATTGTTTGTTTTTATTTTTACTTCAAAGGCGAAGATTATAGTTGTGGTGACATAATCTACTTTACAGTACTTAATGCTTTCATTTTCTATATATGTATTTTTTATGTAATTTAATATTTGTGTTATTTTTCCAAAATCGAAGTTGATATTTAAAATGACAGAATATCCTGTCATTTTAAGGTGCTTAAATGTTTTCCTTTTTTTTGTTTAATTTTCAAAACTGAAGATTATACTTGTGGTGACATAATCTCCTTTAAATAGATTGATTGTTCCCTTTCTCTTTTTCACTTTATATTTCTTTCTGAACTGAAGGTGACTCCCGGAGTCGGGATCTGCTTTATGACGTTTGATGCGTCGGTTGCTCATCTCCCCGTCTGGATGTCGACACTCTGTCCTGTGTGTTGCCGCCGTGTCGGCCTTCGTGCAAATGAATTTTTCATTCCAGTTGTGTGATCTCACTCTGAACATTTTAGAAAAGCCCAGCCATTAGTTCGACTAATTATTTTGTGGAGCACAAAAAAAAAAAAGGAAAATCCAAAAGTCCAATGTGAAAATAATTGATTTGTTTTCTACAAAAGTGTTTAAGTTTGGAAGCTGCCAGAGCCGGGGAAATAAATTCAGGAGCGGGATCTCGTTATAGCGAGATATAAAACTGCATTCCTCTGACGGATTTCCACTTCATAGGCATACAGGGACTCCCTCTGACTCTCCGTGTTCTCACTCCGTTCCTCTAGAAGACATTCAGACATCCCGCGAGGTGTTGCCGTTTTACTGTTACGATCGCTCTCTCGTTTAACCGGGAACATATTTCGGTTTTAATGAGGTATAAATCTTGTTATAACGAGTCTTATATCTCGCCTTAAAACGGGAAAACGTTCTCATTTTTAACAAGGTTTGTATCTCTCTTTTAGCTTTCCAATAAATCAAGGTGTCACAGTTATTTGGATCTCCGCTGTTTGTACTTTGTTCAGCCTCCATTTGGCAACGCGACGGGACATATTCTTCTCCTGTAACGTTTTACAAGGCTGGAGCTTGCTCCACAGTTTTTTCTTTTAAACAACAAAAACAAAAAAAAAAAACAGGGTTTAGGTCTAATGGCTGGAGCCATTTAATAAGGCTGAGGTTTGCGTCTGATGAAGCATTTCTGTTGCTTTGGCCTTTTTGGGTCAATGTCCGACTGGATTTCCCAGTTCGCAGACAGAATCCACCAGATTTCCAAGCACTCATTGCACAGAATTCACCATTTCATTGACACGATTCGTGGTGGTCTTTGTCAAAGAGAGAGACACTCAGCGCGTCACAGATCCTCTACCGTACTTTATAGCGATTAAAAGTATTTCTTTCCTAGAATGCCACCATTTGTTTAAATGATACATACATTATCTTCTGACCAAATTGCAGAGTTCAAGTATTAAATAGTTGCACATTTGTGGGAACTTCAGCTCCAGTTGGTGTAACGATTAAGGCCAGATAAATGAGTTCTTGTCCAACCTTGATATAGGTTATTACTCTTTTTTTTTGTCATTTAAATTACTGCTCTGTCGTCTGTGCTTGCTAAAAATTGCTTGTTCTTTTGTCTTTGTCAGTATTCTGTAAAATTGGATGTTTTTGAGCTTTAAATTGTGCTACAATGTTGCCGCCTCATCAAAAACATACCTGGAGTGTTGCCTTGATTCTTTCATGCATGTTTGAGAAATACTTCAATCTCCACGGCAACCATTCAGCTGCGCAAAACACCTGGGTGGACTTAGCCCCGCCTACGAGGACAAAGCTCCTCCTCGAAGTTGCAGTTTCCAAGCTTCCGCCTCACAGAGCTGCCCTTTCCCGCTCGGCTCCTTCAGACTAGCCAACAGCAATTGGCAAACACCTGGTGAAAGTGAATATCTGCAGAGGTCACTCTACCAGCTACTTCTCTGTGAAATGCTGGTAAAAACGTTGCTAAAGGGTTAATAGAGGAGCCATGTAGTGGTGACGTCCTGAAAGCGACGTTTCATAAAGCGCAGGAGCTTCTTAAAGAGACAGGCCCAATTTCAAGGCGTTAAATCACGATGTGAAATTTCTTTTAAGTCATATTTTACATAGGTTTTTTCTTTTCCTAACAATGAAGTTAACAGACATCAATGATTAGCAATTTAAAGTGTCTGGACAATTTGATCAATGTAAAATACTAGAGTATTCATTTCAAAATGGCTTCATTAAAATATTTTTATGAGCAAAAATGACCCAAATAACATATTTGTAAAAATATAAGAATGAAAGAATGTACTCACATGGAAGGTTGTATTTCTTTTACTATGACATTTCTGCAGTAATGTGTTTGTTTAAAGGCTTTGTCACGTCACAGAGGTACTGCAATGCACGTGGTGTGTCCAACTCTGCAATATGTCAATCCAAACCTAAAACAAATGAGAAAGCAGAATTGCTACAGTTTGTCATGATTACTGTTACAGAAAAAAACCCTCATCGACAGTCCAGTGTAAAATATCGGGATCTAAAGTTTAAAGACATAAACTACATAGTTTATATCGAAATGTACATATAAATGTTGGAACAGGATGAAAAATACACATTGAATTCATCAGGACAAACACGTGTCCAAAGTTACCCCCGTGCACAATTTCATGTGACAAGCTGTTGTGTTTGAAAATGTGTGCAACAAAGAGCCGGCCTTGCACATAACAAAATCTACAAAAATAAAAATATATTTTCTTTTTATTGCCTCCTTTGTTTTTTCTTTTTTTGTGTGTATTTTGTTGTTGTTGTTTTTTTTTATTATTACTTCCATATCACCATCCCCCCCCCACCCCCTGTCCTCCTTGTCTCTCTGAACTCCAAATCTTGATAAATTTCTCGTTTTGCAGCAGTTTTATGTAGACTGCACTCCCTCTTGGTTTTTCCATCCATTTATCATCCCTTCACGTTCCCGTTCCCATCCTCCTGCTCCGTTTTCTTCTTGAACAGACTCATCTATCAGCTCCTCATCGCGATCAACGAGCTGCGCCGCGTTTAAGTGACGTTTTTTCAGTTTTTCTCCATCCACCTATTTGAACACCGTCAGATTAGAATAATATAGGCCTCTCTATATATATATAGTCTCAGGGTGTGAATCACTGGGTTGTGTGTGCGCTTTACGCACCGTTTGCGCCTCTAAAATATTCGTATAATAAATTGTTGCCGTTTAAATGAACACTGCGCGGAAACGCGCGCGGCGCTGCGGAATAAAACTGCTGTTGGTTTAAGCAGGAGCTCCCGCTGTGCGCGGAAAGGAAACTCGAATGCAGCTTGAAAATGATGCCATTTTTAAAGTAAAAAAATATATATATAGCTATATTATTTTTTTAACTCGCGGTGAGTTTATTTAGGATGCAGGGCGTGTTTGCTCTCGGTTTACACGTGAAGCCGTGCTGGGCTACAGGAGCTCAATGGATAACAGAAACACAAACACCTGCCGTGGAGACGGACGAGTTTAGCATTTAAATAACACGCTTCTGTTCTCCTTGAGCACAAAATAATCATTCGGAGCCGAACCTCCGCTTGAATTCAGTTTCCTGAGTCTTTATGTTGCGGTTTATTTGGAGCCACGTTTGGTACGAAAGCGGCTCACCTGAGACTTAAACTTAAAGTTTTTGGGGAGCCAAAATAGGCAGAAGCGGCAGGCGCGATGTTTTCTTCTCCAACAACGCCTCTAGAAAAGTGACTGTCATTGACACTGGCGTGGCTTTTGATGCGAGTTTGAAAGACGCGGACGGAAATGTCCAGAAATTCAGGCCAGAAAGACAGAGCGACGTCCAGGAGAGCTAAGCTAACGTTAGCATAGGATTCTACACTTCCTCCTTTGTGACCATAGGATACTTGTTACACCTACTTATTGAACTGCTCTCTATGGAAAGAAAACATCTTCGTTTTTCTGCTTCGAGTTACAACCATAAGCATTAATTATTAGAACCTCACAATGATGCTACGAGAGGCCTTCGCGTTATCCTGGCGCTGTTTCCTCAACACGATGAAGCACCAGGGAGCCTCTCCTCTGGTCTGATTTCCTGGCATACGTCGACGACTTTGGCTAGGACATTGTCCCACAACAGAGTCAAAGATTACATTGTCGACCATATTGCTCCAAATCCGACAGTCTGCCACTCTAACGACTGACTCTCCAGTCTTTTCAACTCCAGACATAAACTCTCATGAAGAACCTCCTCCATGTTTTCTCTGGAGCATCTGGTGTTAAATTGGTTAGCAAACCTGCTAACCTGTCATTAACTTTTTTCCTTCGGCAATGACAAAGTTTACAAAAATAATTTTTGTATTAATTTTTAATTTATTTATTTTGGGACCTGGCGGTTTACTAATTTTAGATGCTAATTTCAGAAATTAGCATCTAAAATGAGTATTTTAGATGGATGAGGGATAAATGGACACCCGGTTTATGTAAAAACATGTAATTGAACAAATCCAAAATGTTCTATTCCAATGACAAAGCATATCTAGGTCAAGAGCAGATTATCGGTTAATATCCGACCACTTACTAATCACATAGCTGTTTCAATTTGAAGTGAAATTCGAAACAAGGACACTGTTAAGAAAACGTGGAAGCCGGGAAGCCAAATTAAAGAAAGCAGACGATGTTAATATTTTAAGGAATATCTGCACTATATCCAAAATAAGACCAGAAACTTCACTGGAGGAAAACGAATGTGAATCATCAAATGTCCAAGTGAAAAGCTACTTCTTTAGTGCAGAAAAACATCTTTTTTTTTCTTCCTTCGTTTTTTCCTTCATTCTTATAGGCCTACTGTTTTTTTCACTCAAACAGTATCATTTGTGTGCTTGAAGAGATTTAACAGTTGTTTTTGTATTCTTTCTGTCATTTTAGTTTCACAGTTACACCAATATTTTATGACCAATATTTTATACCTCCATATTCATAATCCTTTTTACGCACCGATTTCTTATGTTTCTTTTTTTTTTCTCGATTTTCTTAAATGTATCGATTTTGTATCGATACATTTGGCTTGTATCCAAATCTCAATACATCTGGTCCCACAACTTTTTATATATATAGCCTATACATATATATATATATATATATATATATATATATATATATATATATATATATATATATATATATATATATATATATAAAGAGAGAGAGAGAGAGAGAAAGAGATTTTTTTTGAAAATTTCACATAATTTATTTTTAAAAATGTGAATAAAATCTTGATGTGCAGTAGACGATTAGATGCATGTCACCGAGTCACGTGTTAGACGTTTTGCGCCACATCTGATCGTGAAATTTGGTCCTTCTGCACCCGAGCTGCGGAATAACTATATTATAGGCGTTATATTTTATGCAGCTGTTGCCATATTAAATCTTCTCCAACGGGAATTTTTAGCGCATCAATCCTCTTTGCCTTTCACCCGAGGAGAGAAAAGGCGCACTATTCAGCACCATCCAGAAAAATAAATAATCATTTACTTCCAGATAATTTGCTGCCGAACAGCTTCTAGAAATCATCTGGAGTTAAATATATATATATATATATATATATATATATATATATATATATATATATATATATATATATATATATATATATATATATATATACATATAAAAATACATATAAAAATACATATATATATACTTTTTTATTTGTTTAGGGATGACCCCAGACTTTGTTATGCGCTTTTTGGCTGCGGACTGTTTTGCGGAGATTTTTCTTCATCCTATTATTGCCTCTATTTTTTTTTAGCTTTAACTTCTCTGTGGATTTTTCACGTATGGATGACGTTCTCCTGTTGCCCTGCCAACAATAATAATAATAAAAATACCCTCATCATATAAATCAATCAAAAGCGCTGTTTATTTTTTCCCTCTTTTGCATTGTGAAGTTTAGATTTAGAACTCGTGCAGCTGCCTCGGTTCTATTGAGAATCTCACATTATGATGCATAAGTAGGAAGCTTCAGGTAGAGAAACCTGCAGCTGTTCTTCATCAGTGAATCGATTTGACTGCGCATTCATTTCTGTCTGGGTCAGAAATGAATGAGAGCGGATTGAGCCGCGCAAGTCCGCGGCCTCAGGCGGTGCGGGCAGAAGGAGTCCGAATGCTGCTGCTGCTGCTGCTGCGTGTGTGTGAGCGTGTGTGTGTGTCTCTGCCCGCTTGCTTCAGCTTCACTCTCCGTCCGTCCCACCGGGTCGCGCGCTTCCTTGTAAATGAAACTAGCAGTTAACGGCCCGCTGCACCAAATCAATCAGCGTAGAGACGCAGCTCCGGGGGGCCCTGTGCGCAAAGACGCAACGACCTGCCGACCGGAAGAGGGAGGGAAGCGTGGAAAAAAAATCCTGAGAAGTTAAATCTATCTATCTATCTATCTATCTATCTATCTATCTATCTATCTATCTATCTATCTATCTATCTATCTATCTATCTATCTATCTATCTATCTATCTATCTATCTATCTATCTATCTATCTATCTATCTATCTATCTATCTATCTATCTATCTATCTATCTATCTATCTATCTATCTATCTATCTATCTATCTATCTATCTATCTATCTATCTATCACTATTATTACTACTAATATTCACCTGTGTCCTCCAGAGCACGTGCATCAGAGGAAGCCGTCATTAAACCTGCGCTTGCGTTGTTGTTTTTTTGTTTGTTTTGTTTTGTTTTTGTCGCGTTTGCGGCGAAAGCGCGCGCCGGCCCGCGCGTGAGCGGTCCCGTCCACGGTGTCCGGCCTGTGAGCCCGAGCGGAACACAAGTTCCGATCCGCTTCAGACCAAAGCCCGAAGCTGCAGGTTTGTAAAATAACCTACGCTTAAAAAAAAAAGGAAAAAAAAAGTGACATAACAGAGTAAAAAGTCTCAACTGATTTTACTGACTGACTTTAGTTTGATTGTTGCTGCGCAGGTGTTGGACGGCCTCCTCTCCAACATTCAGTCTGAACTAATTCCGCTTTATGGTATTTTTCATTCTCTAAATAAGTCCGCTTCTTAGTGTTATTATTATCATTATTATTTTTTAGCATTTTTATGTTGTGAACTAATAAACTAAATAAAGGCGTATAGCGTTATTATTATCAGTATTATTATCAGTAATAATAATGAATCCCTGCCAACAGCCATCACCATCTACAATAACCGTATTGAAGAGTTTGAGTGGGGACACCATTTCATTTCTCTTTGGGATCAATCAAATATTCTTGAGCTGAACGTTTTGAACTGAGGCTCATTTCAACAAACCAACCGGAAATCCAGCAGTTGTTGGGCCAATCATGAGCCGACGGCCCCACAGAAACGCACTGGATGCCAATGAACGTTTTCTTCTTCTTTTTTTTTCAATTATTTTATTTTTTTTTTATTAAAGATATCGGCAGAAGAAAATTTGTGACTGATCCGAATCCAGAATGCAGTTTGTTAGTTTGTTTGTTTGTGGGGGTTGTTGATTTTTCCCCTTTACGCAGCGACCTGCCTGCAGCCTGCAGCCTGCTGCCTGCGGACCCCGGCAGGCAGGCAGGCAGGCAGGCAGGTCAGAAAATATCCAGTGAAAAGGCTGCGAAATGTTCAAACGTCTCAGTTGAAATCGTGAGTCCGGGCGGCGGTGTGGGTGTCGGAGCGGATCAGACGCGCAGCAGCAGCAACAGCATGCACAACCCAGAAAATGAATAATAAACAGATAAATAAATAAATAATCAACCCC